GGAAAATGTAAAGCCTTGTATTATTGAAAAAAATTGCAAATCCAAGGTTTAATTTCTTACCAACCTCCATGACCAGTGTGGGCTAATCACGGGGATGATGTAAGCACCCAATATTCAGGCACGCCTGCTCTAAAAGGAGACTTTGTCAGGTACCTCCCCACCTTTTCGTTTCTTAAATGCCCCTTACACTTAAAAGTTGTACATTCAAGGTTTTTTTGGCTGTTGAACTGACAATAGCATTACATTATGGTTATGCTATCATTTGCAGAGTGATATAAGTTCTAGGCTTGGTTCAATTTCTATTGTTATAAAATAGTAGTAAAGGTTTCATTTAAGTAACGCTAATATTGTATCATTCCATTATATGGAGGATTCAGTCTGTACGATATCTGAACGTTAAAAAAAAAAAAAATCTATATGATGTGAAAATAAAATTCTGTAGGTTTTAGATTGCATAATTATATATATATATATATATAGAATTTTTTGTTTTGTCATAGAATTGGAAATACTTTAATTTAATTTATATGATAAGCAAAAAGATTCCACCACATTGTACCACAGGAGCATTGGGATTTGAGTTAATCGTAACACTTTTGACAGAGAGAGTAGTACTGCTGATGATTAAAAATCCCAGCACATATTGTTTTACCGTAGAAATATGTTACTTGAAAACTGTACAGCTATCCAGTCCGTGTGTTAACCAGCCATTCATTGTGTGGCTATGTGGTTCGCATCTAGTCATGGCTCGACAGGCTTTCTCTCTTGCTGATGCAATACTCACGCACGCACAGTTGCACATATTCAAACTGAGGGAGAATAAGGAAAAAAACAGAAACGGAGAGAGGAGGGAGAGAGAATGAACGTATAACAGAGGATTTTTTTGTTTTTTTTTTTTGGGTGGGGGGAACTGGAGGGGGAGCTTTCAGAACATCACTCAATATTTCAACTTGTCAACTTGCAATATAAAATTAAAAGCAAGAGCAAAAAGCAACTACAGCAACTTCAGGTTTCCTTCACAAGAAGGAAACTTACAAAATATAATTAAAACACAAGCACATAGTCATTTCTTTCTAGAATAGAATTCCTATATTTCCTATCTTAAGCACCATGACTTGTGTGCCAAATAGACGAAACTATCAGCCAATTCACCAGTTTTCTGGTTGAATTGGCTTGTTTGGGCCAGTTTTCCGATCTATGTGTTACATTGAAACCTTCATGCCTTCCCTATTGATTATTTCATTTGGCTGGATTCAGATATGGGCACCGTACAATGCAAGGAATTCTACAAGATGGATGTAATGCTCTTCTACGCTATTATTGAATTTTTTTTGTGATGGAACAAAGCAGGTTTGTGGATCTCATTTCTACTTGTATCCATTGATGATACAATAAATGTGTTTAAGACAGCTGTAAAACATATACTACTTGGCTATATTTGATTTCTTCTAATGTCACATTCAAGGTTTTCTTGAGTTCCTGTTGGTTGATGACAATTGTTACTGCTGACTGCCCTAGCCCTGTTGAGAATTCATCAGTTAATTATATTTGTAGTTCTGGATCCAATAAATTACGTCAAATAATGCAGATTGATTAGCGTATCAGTAATTGATTTCTTTGTACGGTTTCTGATCTTTATTTTTGTGAAGGATGCAATTGATCTCTTGCAAGGACATTACATAGTTTCTGTCAGCAGAGATATGACTACCTCTTCTCAAAGGAGGAATTGAAGCTATAGCTGTGAGTATAAGTTGGAGGACTATATCCTTCTACCTACCGTTACTTTTCAAAAGTTATATAGACCTCATAGTTTATGAATGTATTCAACTATCATAGCATGTCTCTAACTTCATATGATTATACTGTTAATGTCTGTCTTGCTTGTGTGTTGACTGACTACTCCAAAAAGTTTGTAATGTAGCTGACTCCACATCATGGATAAGGCTTATGTTTTTTTTTTTTTTTTTTGGTTGCTGCTGCAGTGTTTTATTAATAGGAAACTGGAATATATTAAATTCATTTTTTTTCTTTTTGCTCTTCTAATTCTAATATTACTTTCTTTTTTAACGTCTTTTCAGTCCTTTCCTCTGGCTTTTTCTCTGGTTATGGTTGGATTCATCTTTGCAACCATGTCATTGAGGCAAGGTTAGTTGGCTTTTGTTCTTTTAGCTTAATGCACAAAAATATGCCCAATGTCCAAACTGGGAATCAACTCTTGCTTGCCCACATACACTCGCACACTTTTGCAATTAGGCATGCATAACTACTTCTCAGACCTGCTGTTTTAAAACCATCCCTTTTATTCTTGAGGTGGAGTGTTACAATCAGGCAGCCACAATTGGAAGTTTGGAACTAGGGAGAGTGGAACATGGAGAGATAAGAAAGAGGAAAATGTGAGAAATAAATAGAAATCAGGATGTGAACTGTGAAGGCAAGGAGAAAGAGACAAAGAATAGGAACAGGCCCTCTCTGGTAAATATCAATCATAAAAAATCTGAGAACTAAATTACTCGATAATCCTTCATTTGGCAAGGAGAACACAACTCGTAAGACCACTGGGATAAAAAGCTTTAACCTGTCAGCGAAGTTCTATATGACTGAGAAATGCCTAAAGAAAGTGATTTGTTTGGTGGACCTACTGAAATTATACTAATTGAAGCATTCTCTATTCCCTCTCTTCCCTTCATCGTCTCACTGTTTATGGGCCTTAAGTGTAGTTCCTCCTCAGATTCCACCTACAAGACTCGGGAAAATCTTCGTCTTGCTTGGTTCAAAAAACTAATGAACCAAAATTTGTCTTTGTTGTTATACAACAAATTAAAGTTCAAGTGATCAATTCTCTTGTCGCCTACCGCTGGAAAATGTAGCTGGCCGTCTTGTGATATTACATACTGCGAGGATTTGAGAATCTGTGTGCTTACTATTCTATAGATGTTGACTTTTCCTACTAGTACTAACGTTTTGAAAATATTACTTCCGGTGGGCAAACTCTGAATAATAGCCTTTTGTTCATTTGGTTTAAACAGTTCGATATGATTTCCGGCACTTCTTTTTCTCTCTAATGTGGGCAAGCATCAGTATTGCCATAGCGGCATTTGTAAGGGCAAATGGTCGGGTCTTCTGCAGCAGACCTCGCCTACACAAGCCACGGCTTTAATTCTATATTCAGATTGCTCTGAGCATTGAAAGTTTTTCCATGGAATGTCCAACTGCTGCAAGAGACCATGCCTGCTCAGGTTTTTGTCCCACATTTGGATACTTTCTTACTATATTTATTCTTTGGTACTAATTTTGTAACCATTGTTTCGACAAATTTTATTCATGTCATAGTCTAAGTGATTGCTTATTGGTCTCTGTATATGCGCTGGATGTTGTGTTTCATTTGAGATGGATGATTCTTTTGTATTCATTTCATGATTAATGCGTTATAATATTTGGTTTTACATTGGAACTTTGCAAGTCGGATCAAGAAAATGAAATGTTTTTCACCGGTTAAGATTAATTTTCTTGCTTTGTTAAATTAAACAGTCTCTAGCAAGAGTTAAATTAAAAGCAATTAATCTTGTGACCATGAGGATGAACCATAATCAAAATAATAGTGCTTAGAAAGTGATGCTAAAGTTGCGTACTTCCCGGGAGAAACCCTCTCCATGTCTTGGGATAATGTTCATCTGACTTTTTTTTTAATTTGATGGTTGCTATTTTATTACGCGGTTTTTCTTTATTTTCTATTATAAAATCTCTTGGTGTGTAACCATTGTTTCGACAAATTTTATTCATGTCATAGTCTAAGTGATTGCTTATTGGTCTCTGTATATGCGCCGGATGTTGTGTTTCATTTGAGATGGATGATTTCTTTTGTATTCATTTCATGATTAATGCGTTATAATATTTGGTTTTTACATTGGAACTTTGCAAGTCGGATCAAGAAAATGAAATGTTTTTCACCGGTTAAGATTAAATTTTCTTGCTTTGTTAAATTAAACAGTCTCTAGCAAGAGTTAAATTAAAAGCAATTAAATCTTGTGACCATGAGGATGAACCATAATCAATAATAGTGCTTAGAAAGTGATGCTAAGTTGCGTACTTCCCCGGGAAAAACCCTCTCCATGTCTTGGGATAATGTTCATCTGACTTTTTTTTAATTTGATGGTTGCTATTTTATTACGCGGTTTTCTTTATTTTCTATTATAAAATCTCTTGGTGAATCCTTTAGTTTAGCATTTATTGTTGAATTGTGATGGTTGCTGTGTCATGTTTAAGAGGGAGAGAAGAGACTCCTCTCAATATATAATTTATTATGCAACAAAATATATAATCGCAATATCTTACCGACTAAAGCTCATTGCATTTGGTTAATGTTCTATATATTATAGAATAAAACTTGATTGATTATTTTGGTTATGAAAATTTTATTAAAACCAAAGTTTATGAAACGATACTATTAATCATACTTAAAGGTAATTATAATAAATCTCTCTTTTTTTTTAAAATAATGTATCACCCATAATTCTTAAAATTATAACTGGGTCTATCTGATATGACATGAATTTATCTAAAGAGTAACAACAAAAGACAAAATCCTGCATCATTGAGAATAAATATTGAAACATGCAACTTTTCAGTATGGGATAATTTTTAGAAATATCAATGATAATATTAATATGATGCGCAATTTCAATCTTTCAATAGCTAGTAGCTACACTTACACATTAATTCTTCATTCGATCAAACTATTCATAAGTCATAAAAACATGAACTATCTCAAATTTTAGATAACTCACTAAATAAGTATAAAATATTCATTTGCCGTATTATGCAACAGGTCAGCAACAACTAGTAGAACCACACATCCCATGTATGGGATAGCACCATAAAGTTTTTGGATTTTGCCAAGTCCTACATTTATTTTTATAAAATTTGAGTTGTTAAGTTACGCTGTTTTACTGCGAAGAAAATTCTTATCTCCTAGTCAATGAACTAAAGTGCCAAGGGTGAAATAAAGCAAAAATAAAAGTCAAAGATTCAAACATCTTGTCTCGACTCCCAGTTCTCCATGTATTGTAGGTTTCACTGAATATTTTAATTTAATTTAACGAGACTAATTCATTTTCAATGCACAAATAAACTGCTCTACGCACAAACGACAGACAAGAAAATGAAAGGCTACCTTCTAAGAACCCACCATTAAATCACCGACTAGCTAGGGGAACTTTCTTCATCCAAAGACGTTGAAATTATTGAAACCTTAATAATTAAATCAAAACACTATAATCCATCAAACCCATGTCTTCAAGAAGCATAAGGAGGCCAATACAGATGAAACTCAATCTTATACACAACGGTCCGACCCTTGAGATCAATCGGAGAAGAAGCAACGTAACCTTGCACGAACAAGAAATCCTCAGTACCTCCCACCACCGGAAGATTCGAGTGCTTCACATTGTTGGTCACTCCAACCACAGAAACAGACCCCTTGTGGTTTTTCAAGTTCAGAGTCAGCTTAGCGACTGAGATGCTCTGAAGCCCATCAAAGCTCGAGGTTATGGATGTTCCTTCTGCCGTCCCGACAACTTTGGACGACATGTTGACTGTCTCAGTCAAAATGTCCTGAAACACAAAATAGGTACCAAATGGGGTTGTCGTTTGAGTCACTCCTGGTCCTCCTGTAATACCTTCTACTATGATGTAGCCTGTTTTGTTTATGGTTTCGTGTTGGAAGAGAGAGAAGTGGAGGGACTTCAGGTGGCCGTGGCGGTCGTGGTGGTGAGAACTGGCGGCGACCTTTGATGGGGTTAAGGTAAGAAGCAAGAGAGGAAGAAGAAGAAGAAGAAGAAGAAGATGGTGAAGAGAGGTTGATGAACGGAGAGCCATGGCTTTTCTTGTTGGATTTGATAATTAGGGTTAGAACATGAAGGGATATTTATAGGGTAATAATTTGTGTGTGTAAATAAATTATGCTATGTGTAGAAATTAATTTGATGAGGCTTGGTTCACGTTTGATGGTATGAAAAAGCTTGAAGTGACTTTGTGGTTGACGGCATAAAAACTTGCAAATGAGGGCGCAAGTGAAAAGGATAGCTTGACGTCCATACCACTCACCACCCTTTTAGACATTATTAATCTGGCTAGATTTTTTTTTCCCTCTATTGGAATTGTAATATTTGTTTAAATTTCACGTTTAGACGGGTTAATACTTGTGCCCATATATTAACCATTTAGGCACAAAATGATTTTGTTTATTATATTACCTTTGATCAACCCTACCCTACTGTATCAAGACAGTGGATGACAAAAGGACTGTCTGAGAAAATTTTGCAATCTTTTGTGATTAAGGAACCATTTTTATTTTTATTTATTTTTTTCAAAAGGATAGCTTGTTAGTCAATATTCGTCATATGGTCTCTGTTTGTATTGTGTTTAACTTCTTCCTTTGAAAAATACTATTGAATAATGTAGTATATATGTATTGGCAGTCAACTGAATCAGGAATCATAATATTTGGCTTGATCGGTGAATTAATCCCAATTTAATTTGAAGCACTGGAAAAATAAAATTGATAAAACTTATTTCCATGTACTATTTTTACATATATAAAATTAAGGATTTTTAAAAATTATTTTAATATATATATATATGTGACAGAGATTAACCGTAATATTTGTTATTTTCTACAATGGGATTTTGAAAATGTTTCTTCTTCCTAGCTCACCATGAAAGTTGAAAATGGCAAGCTAGTTGGTAGGAAAGAAGACCGAGGAACATGTTAGTGCTCTAGAAGGGTTGGCTGGAAAATAAAGTGGTCAAAATTCAAACTGACAATTGCATTTATATTCTATTATAAATATATGAGAGACTTAGCTTTATAATTATTATTTAGTTATTGCGTGCAATTAACTGTTTTTGATTTGTATTGGTCCATATTTACTTTCCGAATATTATTATGGGTTCAGGTAGCACGAGCTTTTCTTTTCATAGGGAAGCCAGAGCATTCAGATGCAAGTTGAATAATGAATTGGAACGCAAACGACCGAGTCAAAGTTGCCTCGCTTTTATATATTCTCCATATATAATCCATTCGTTTTATAATTATCATCAAACCAAAATTTAGATATATAAAAATTCAATCAAAGTTCATGCTCAAAGTATAGAATCAAATTCATCAATCAAAAATATAAATCAATTTAAATTAAAAAAAAAACCAAGTGCAAAAGCGTATTTAAATGATTGAATCCATAATCACAAATAAGGCTGTTAATTATAGCAACCCGACTTTAAAGGGGCAAATCTAAAGAGCCGGCCTTACAGGCCTTGCTCTTTTTTTTTTTTTTTTTTTTCAATTAAAAAATATAAAAATATATATTTGTAATCCTAAAGAAAGTTATTACACATAAGGTTATATTTAGGAAAATAAATTTAAGCCAATTCACACTGCAATAAATATGTAAAATTTAAAATTTAAACATTTAAGTCTAATATCAAATAGCAACGTCAAAATTAACATTAATAAAAATTAGACTTTTTTTTAGATAGAATAAAAATTAGATTTTATTAACCTTATCAATCAAATCTTGATAAATGAATGAGTGAGGGAGGAATGAGTCTAATGTTTTCATTTCTTTTAGTTAGATGTTTAGTCTCTCATTTTTTTTTCATATTGAATTTAAAAATAATAATAAAGGGGCTTAAAAAGGCCGGCATTGGCCCTAAAGAGTCAGCCTTTTTATTTAGAGGCTCAAAATGATCATTTTTTTTTAAGCCTTAATTAAAAATTTTAACATAAAATAATAGCCCAACCTTGATTATTTTAGGGTTTAAAAGTGCCGGCTCGATGACTCAACCCTAATTAATAGCACTAATCATAAGTGTTAGATGATTCTATATTCTATTATAGGTTAATGAAATGGCACTATGATCATTCATATTGTAAACATTGAAAACTTCCTTATAATTCTTTGGAAGAACGTTGAAGAATCAGTTTCTTGTAATGCCCAATTCGAAGGCCACAACTCCCTATATATAGACTTAAGTTAGTGATATTTGCAATTCATCTTCTCAACAAATTATAAATATTACTTTGATCTCTAATTTTATAACAATTACACCCCTTAAACCTTGAAATTTTTCCAAATAAATCACTTGATTTAGGCTTATTTTAATAACGGCCGCACTCTCTTAATATTCATGTGTGGCCCCTATATGTTCAATTTCATTCCAATATATGGCTTAGATTTATCTGTCCATTTTCAAAATAAAAACTTTCACTGTGTGGAATTAGATTTTCACAGTTACATTGTTAATATCATAGTTCAAAAAAAGTGATAATACAATCAACTCAGTTGGCAAGAGATATGTATATCTTAATCAAAGATCTTAAGCTTAAGTTCTAAAAATGCAACAACATTTAATAGTAAAGCTTTCATTCAAAAAAGTTCCAATTCAAATTAGTTGGAGCCATTGGCTCTCAAACACCAAATGGTTTATGTTTGTGGTGAACAACAAATATCAGATGTGTCAGAGACACTAAGTCTCAATTGATAATAAAAAAGTATCGAGCTCCCTTACCACAGTTCATTCAAATGTAAAAAAATACAATGCTTTGGTAGAATAAGTTTTGATTTTATCAAAATATGAGAAGCCACAAGTCTAAATTGAAAGTAAAACTGATTGATGAAACTAAGGTTATAAGATATAAAAGTATGAGTCTTTGTTTGAGTGTTGACTGTTTTCTTCTATGTCTTCGTCTTCTATTTATAGTGTCAGAGTGGTGGTAGATTCTCCTTAAGACCTAGCACATTTTGCTAAAGAATAAAGGATCTCACGAAACTCATAGCACAGTCTTTATTCCACGCTCTCTATTTTGATAATCAGCTTGTTTCACCGAGATATTTGAGCATGAAGTCCGTAGGTTTCGACATTACTTGAGATCGTGTCTTTTCATGCCAATAGTCCAATGTTTGCAGCTAATAAGATTTCAGTATGTTTATTCCATCGTGACCTCTTACTGAGTCTCGGGGCCGGCCCCTTTATTCATTGGAATTAACGCTTCAGTTACTCAACCTAACTAGTCCTGTAACCTATCTAAACGACGTTTTATATTTTAGCCCAAACAGTTATTATTATTATTATATTATTATTATTATATTATTATTATTTTAAAAGGAGTGATGGTATACAAAAGTTAGACTTACATGTGAGATTTAACCTTAAACATTTTACTAAGCATGTTTTAACTTTGAAAAAGTTTAATATTGTTGTGAAATCAAACTAGATAAGGTGAAAAATTACCCAGACTTCAATTTTAGTAAACTCGTAAATGAACTCATTGAATTTGAAAATAGAAAAAATAAAAGAACAGGACAGCAATGTTTACATTCTTTCTAAACATTACCTTTAGTTTGTCACTGTCAGTTGACATCAATTTCTACAACTCATGACAAATAAGTTGCCTATTCTGACTTAGTTTAATTTAACGTCAAACTTTGGAGCTGTACATCAAAAATCATATTTCAAATTAATTTAAAACTAATCAAATATGACATTTACATCATTTTCAAATCATCGTATTCTAATATATGAGTAAGCCCTAGTTCATAGTATGCATATAACATTTATTCCAAACCATAGATTTCCTAATTTCCTTAATAATGATGCCCTCTACTTTAGTAATTGGGCCTAAACTATATACATCTAATGCATGGGGTAAAAGTCCTACTTAAAATAATAAATTACATATTTCATTCTATTTTCAAAACCCTTACTAAATGCAACATTCCTTCTTTTCCCCCAACAATAAATGCAACATTTCACTATATATTTGGGTTGGGCCATTCATTTTTATTATAATATCTTTTATTGCTGGAGTTTGAGCCTAAAATTTTGACTTGAGATTTGTATAGATCATTTGCTCTAAGCTTTTGAAACACCTGAGAAAGATAGAAGCCCAATGGATATTTTACCTTTGGGCCAATTTTTGAATACTTCTAAGTAAAACAATGTTTGAACTTTTTTTTTTCTATCAAAAAGATTATGTCTAGTGAAAGGAGTTGATCCCTCATAATATGGTGAGCTAATATTTAAATTCTCATTGGCTACCCACATTTAATACCCAATAATGCTTGAAATGGGATTGACTTTAATAGGTAGGTAACAAAAATTTTTTCCAAACATTTTAGGGAGACCGAAATAATTTGATAAAAAATAGGTCTTTTGGAAAAATTAAAATTTTAAGTCATCATGATTTATATTAATTTTTAATTTAGCTCATAAATCAGATAGTATATTGACTAATGACTTGAGTGGAGCACTCAAGAGAGACTATGAAGACAAAAGATTAGACTTTAAATTAATTAAGAACTCAGAGTTCAAATTTTAATCAAACTCAATTTTTTTAAAATGAAGTAACATGACTTACATCATGGATGATTACATTAGAAAGGGCTTTTAAGAAGGTTACTGTCTATAAAAGGAAAGGAGAAGGGTTTAGGTACATAGTGTCATGGTTATAATGAAATTTGAGTGGTTCAAATTTACAGTTTTTAATTCATTATATTTAAACTGTATATTTATTCTTCACAGAATAACAGTTTGAAAGTTATCTTTATTTTAAATTTTAAATTTAATAATATATTGAAATATTTAAAAATAACATTAAATTTAGATCTTCCAACTATAATCTAGATAATATGATCGATCATAAAGCACTTAAAGTGTCTCCTAAGGAAAGTCCCCAGTATATCCTAACAAAACAATTATTCCATGAATACTTTTACTTTTTATGTTAGGATGAGTCATTCTTTTGTTGGGTTTTGAGTCAAAATATTTTTCTTTTAATTTTTTATAAAAATAAAATTTTATTTATTACTAAAAGCTAATATACTACATATTTAAAAAGTGACCCAATCAAGTGATTGGACTAAAAAGAAACAATAAAGTAGGAAAATAAACAAAG